CCTTTTGTTTGTTTCTTAATTGACAAAAGCTTTAAACTGTTGTGCTGCATTCTTTTCAAATTTTTGCATCTTTCAGGATCTCTTCACTGGGAGGTTGAAAGGAGATTGGTAAAGAAGAAGAAGGCTTATATGTGCTGCATTCACAAAGAAAAAACAAGAATACAGTTAGATCTTTAGTAATGGCTGCACACAGGAATGAACCTGAGCTATGGCACAAGAGGACGGGACATGTTCCAGTTCAAGTTCTAAAGAAGACTCCTAGTATTAATAGTAGTAGTAGAGCATAAACAAGCCCATGTGGCATATGTCCATTAGCAAGACAATCTAGGACACATTTTCCAATTAGTAGTAGCAAAGCAGAGATCATGTTTTGATTTGATACATATGGATGTTTGGGGACCCTATAAAGTTCCTACATATAATGAAAAGAGATATTTTCTCACAATAGTTGATGATCATTCTAGGTGGATTTGGATTTTCCTGTTACATCTTATACATCTTAAGTCTGATGTCATTACAGTCCTCAACAATTTCATAATTATGGTGAAAACTCAATTTGGCCGGATGATCAAGTGTTTTAGGTCAGACGATGGCTCTGAGTTCTTCAATTACAATTGTGCTAATTTGTTTCAAATGCATGAGATTATTCATCAAAGCTCCTGTCCACACACTCCTTAACAAAATGGAGTAGTGAAAAGGAGGCACATGCATATTTTGGAAACTGCAAGGGCTAGTAGATTTCAGGGGCATTTCTCAGTGAGGTTTTGGGGTGACTGTGTGGATGCAGCTGTGTACATAATAAATAGAGTTCCTTCTACCATTCTAGGAAAACAGTTACCTTTTGAAATCCTATATGGGAGACAGCCTTCTTTGTTATATATGAGGATCATAGGGTGCCTATGTTTTGTAGCTAATCTCCCAAGGATGATAAATTTGCTCCTAGGTCTATAAGGTCAGTGTTTCTGGGGTATGCAAGTACACAAAAAGGATATAGACTGTATGACATTGAACACGGGACATTCTTTGTTAGCAGAGAAGTACTATTTCATGAAGATGTGTATCCATCCCAAGGTTTCACTCAAGGTTCTTCTTTTTCTATCAATGAATTTCAGAGGCTTGATTGTCCCACTGATCAGCCTCCCATTATTATATCTTCCAATGACGGAGAAAGGGGCAACTTAGTTCCACCTATATCTCCTACACTTGCTAAGCCTATTTCCAGAGTTAGTAATTCATCTCCTACTTCTATGTTGCCACCTGCAGAAGAAATAATTGTTGAGAGACATGAAGGACACACAAGTGATACTGGGGAGTTGAGAAGGTAAAGTAGAACTACTAAGCCCCCTATTTGGCTTAAGGATTACATTGGGCCACAACAAAAGTCCAATTCTTCCACTACAGCTCATTGCAAATATCCTATTGGTGATTTTATTCAGTATAAAGAATTATCCGCTTCATACCAGGCCTACATCACTCAGTTGTCTTCTGAGATTGAACAAGTTCCTATCATGAGGCAGCTAACGATGTGAAATGGATTGAATCTATAAAAGTAGAGATACAAGCATTGGAGGACAACAAGACATGGGAAGTGGTGTCATTGCCTCCAGGAAAAAAGGCAATTGGATGCAAATGGGTGTACAAGATCAAGTACACATCCAGTGGGAAAGCTGAAAGATATAAAGCACGATTAGTGGCTAAAGGGTACAGTCAAAAGGAGGGATTGGATTATGAAGAAACTTTTTACCAATAGTTAAAACGGTTACTGTCAGGTCTCCATAGCAGCAGCCAAAGGATGGAATCTCTATCAAACGGATGTTTACAATGCTTTCTTGCAAGGAGATTTGAATGAAGAAGTGTGCATGACCTAACCTCAAGGCTTCTCTCATCAACAAGGGAAGTCATAAGTGTGCAGATTGCTTAAGTCCCTCTATGGACTTAAGCAAGCCTCGAGGAAATAGAATATTAAGTTGACTACAACACTTCTTAATTTAGGATTCTAGTAGAGTCATTTTGACTATTCCATGTTCACTATTAAACAGGATTCTCATATTGTAGTTGTTTTTGTCTACGTTGATGACCTTCTGTTTACTAGTGATGACTCAGACCTTATTTCTGCTACCAAATATATTCTGCATCAAAATTTCAAAATCGTAGACCTGAGGGAGTTGAGGTATTTTTTAGGCATTGAATTTACCAGAAGTAAAGAAGGGATCATGTTGCATCAGAGAAAATATGCTCTTGAGCTCATCTCGGATGTTGGTCTTGCAGGATCTAAGCATGTTAATGCTCCTGTTGAGATTAATCAGAAACTCACCACAGTTACATATGATGATCATCTTGGGCTTAAAGATGATTCCTTACTTACAGATCCTAGTGCCTATCAAAGACTGATAGGCAGACTCCTCTATTTGACAATTACAAGGCCAGATATTTCCTTTGATGTACAATGTCTAAGCCAGTTCATGCAAGCTCCCAAGACTTCTCATATGGAAGAAGCTCTTAGAGTGGTTAGGTACATCAAACAAAGTCCAGGTCTGGGACTTCTTATGTCAGCCACTTCCTCTACACAACTAAAGGCTTATTGTGATGCTGATTGGGCAACTTGCCCTAATACCAGAAAATCAGTCACTGGTTACTTGGTGCAGTTTGGTGATTCCCCCATTTCATGGAAATTCAAGAAGCAGAGTACTATTTCCAGGAGTTCTGCTGAGGCAGAATATCGTAGTCTAGCTTCAACAGTGGCTGAGATTGTGTGGCATGTTGGTCTGTTCAATGAATTGGGTGTTGCTCTCACTTTTCCTGTTCCGCTTCATTGTGATAGTAAATCAGCAATACAAATTGCTGTCAATCCTGTGTTCCATGAACGAACGAAACATATTGGCATTGACTGTCATTTCATCCATGAGAAGATTCTTTTAGGCTTGGTTTAAACAGTCTATTTGAGGTCTGCTGATCAACCTGCTAATATCTTAACCAAGGGCTTGAGTAGTCTTCAGCACACTCATTTACTGTCCAAGCTATGCCTCAAAAACATTTTCATTGGTCCTAGCTTGAGGGGGGGGGGGGGGGGGGTAGGTAATGAGATATGTAATATGTGTCATGATCCAGGTTAATTGTGTAGGCTAGTAGTAATTATAGTTAGATGTTAGTATGGTTAATATAGTTAGTTAGTCGGTGATGGGTAGTTTTTAACTGTAGCATTGTAGAGTGTTTGAACATAACAGAAAATGAAATCTTTTTCTCTTATCTCTCTTTCTGCTCTGCTCTTCTTCTGTTCTCCATCTCATTTCTCTCGTGCAAATTCACAAAATTGACATCAATCAAACACCATCACATAGATTGGGATGGAGAGTAATTTTCTACAGCTTTCTTTCACTGAAATTATCTTCTTACTCTACTTATTTTTATTTTGCATTTTTCCTTAAATATTTATATCTCTATCCATTTTTGGTCTTTCTCTCTTCTTACCATGAGTGCTCACCGGAGCCGCTGTAGATTCATCACAAACACATAACAGAGGAGGGAGGGGGAGGGGGGGTGTTCCATTTGACCCATAATAAGAGGCCTCTCTATGTTAAAGTTTTTGTTCTGATTTTATTTGTTTTTCATTTTCTGGTTATTATGCCGTTTAGAACGATCGAAATAACTTAGGAGAGCAAAATATATATTAAGCATATTTAAAACGATAAAGTATTTGTTTATTGAAAGATGAAAATTTAGACTTTGAAAATGAAGACAGATTGACGAGAATATCAATTAATGAAGAATGACGATAATATCAAAAACTAATTATCATGTGCAATTTTAAAAAGAGGAGCATAAAAATTTATGACACTTAATTAATTGGGATAACTATACCAGTTTGACATGCAGAATAAACGAATATCAACTAATTAATATGCATGACTACTACAAAATAATCAAAAGCAGGAGTATAGTATATAATTTCATTTGTCAAGTTGAAAATTCGAAATCTTGATTTCTTTAAAAAAATTTGCCGGCAGAGAAAGGAATAAGATCATACTATATGAAGAAAGAATAAACAAAAAGAAAAGGAAAAAATCAAAATTTCCTTTATTTTATCGATATTAGTCAGAATCTGGAATCATCGAGAGATAACGTGGGATAAGTAAGATGTCTCCACCCTTAATTAGATATTTCGGATTTAGTCCTTAGACGAGATAAATTCTGATAGACTGTTCTTTTCTCTAAATGAGCCCTACGCAAATACGAATATAATTAGTCTAGTGAGTGGCGGCCCAAGGATAAAGCTGCTAAAGTAGCTGCTTTAGGCCCCCTATTTTTTGGTGCCCCAATTTTTCCTAATAAGTGATATATTATTTTGTTTAAAAAAATATTTAGTGTTTTAAATGAGAAAGTATAAATTTTCATAGTAAAAAAAAAAGATTGAACCATTGAGCATAAATTGAGAAAAGGAATAGTCTTTTTGGAAATCACTCTCTAGATCATAAATTGAGAAAAAAATCGATTATTCGTAACTCAAAAAAAGATTGAAACATTAATATAATCCCAAAAAGAATCCTTGATAAATTTTTAACGAACAATAAAATTAAAAATCCTAAATTAGAAAGGATGTCTGAAGAAAGATTAAATAGATTAGATGTATTAGAAATATAAAAAAAAAAAAAATTGTTAGAATGAAACGATTATAAATTACTAATAACTGTACATATAAAAGTTCTAAAAAAATGAACTTCAAACGAAATTATATACTTTTTTTTCTAACAAAAAAGCTTAAGGCCTCTTATTAAAGTTTTGCTTTAGGCCACCATGTTTATTGAGCCGCTCTTGAATCTAGTCAATGTATTTCTAATATGAAATATATAGATAAATAAAAAAATAAGAATCTGGAATAAAATTAAATTTTTGTGCCTTTAGTGGTCCCTGGGAGCGTCTCAAGGAATTAAATAGTCATGATTCTCTCTTGTTGCCAACCAATACTTATTTTATTCTTATCTCTTTCTTTGGAAATGTTTTTAGTACCTCTCTCTAGTGAGTTTACTAAAAGTAGAAAAAGACATAAGAGGGGTTCTTTCCTTTATCATTTTATGTCTTTTTACTATATATAGATCCACTGGCTGGAACTCAAAAGGGAAAGATAATACAAGTAGCACAAAAGTCTTAACAAATCAATGCTTCTTCATTTCCTTTGCCTGGTCAGCAAATTGTGTTTTCGCTAGCTAGCTAGGGTTTCCTTTGCCAGTCTTAAGTCTTTACTCTTTAGTCTTGACCTACCAAATTTGCCTGGTTCATCTTTCAGATCTGAGACATCCCAAAAAGGGTTTTGTGTCTTGATTTAGAACCTTTCTATTTTTGGAAACTTCCCATGAATTGCTAGGATTTCAAGATTTCTTTGGGTTTATTTTGTTTTAACGGAGATTTTTGACTTGAAATTGAACAGACGATTAAGTTGTACATCTCAAATCTTGATTTCTCAAGAATGGTGAGGGGAAAAACTCAGATAAAAAGGATTGAAAATGCAACAAGCAGACAAGTAACTTTCTCTAAAAGGAGAAGTGGGCTTCTTAAGAAGGCATTTGAGCTCTCAGTTTTGTGTGATGCAGAAGTTAGTCTTATGGTTTTTTCTCAAAAAGGAAAGCTTTATGAGTTCTCAAGTTCTTCCAGGTACAAATAATCTTATTCAACTTTTTGTTTTTAAATGTATTTACAGCATCTTCAAAGGATCCTTACGAATTAACTAACTGGCCTTTAGGATTTAATGCAACAAGTACCAAGTACAATGATCACAACTTCACTGTGCAAAAGGGACCCTTCTTGTAATTTTAATATTGTATTTTCTTTTGAGTCCAATCCTTCTAGTTTCTTTTGTGGATTTTTCTTCCTTCTCGGACTATATCTTTCTCGTGGAAACAGCCTAAGACTACGTACAATAAACTCTTATGGACGGTACCCCGGAACCCGCAAATAATAGGAGCTTAGTGCATCGGGCTGCCTTCGTACTATATCTTTCTCTCTTGCAATTTCCTCTTTCTTCTTTTTTCATATGATCGCGGTACATGAATTGTTAATATACTGAATAATCTGTACACGTCTTGATTAAGCCGTCTCTTGTACAAATTCTAGACAATTTTCTGTAAAATATGTAGCATACTACTCTTGAAACAATAAAGCGAATTTTGAAGTATGTGACAAGGGAATATAATATGATTATGCCTGAAGGGAAATTGTACTTGCTACCCAATCGTTATTTCCAATACCCCACCCACTTTTTGCCTGTTTATATCACAACTTAGTGCTAAACCCCAGTGGAAATCAACTTCTCCTCTTATACTTACCAACTTTGCATTTTGTTGGGATCCAGTAGCTTCACTAAAGTCAAATTTCTTCTTTCACACATTGATTTTATTTCTTCATTGGTAGATATAAGTGGTACATTGATTTTGTCATAAAATATCAACTTATTATCTTAATTACCAGCCTTCAGGTAACTTGCCTCATGTGTACGGAAATATATGTAATGCATTTAAATTTGCTTCTGTTCGTACACACCAAGTTTTTCAGTCGCCATAATAATTTCTGTCTTTTGTTTCTGGAAAGATAAGATTTGTTTTACATTGTTGTATTTAATACTTTGAGCAAAGACTTGATAAGAGCATAATTTTATTAAGGAGGATTTCCTCCACTAAATACAATTCAGTTACACACAAAGGAGATAACTCCTTAGGGTTCAGACTCTATCTAGGAGATACACTTTGTTGAATTGTTTGATTATTTCATTCAAAAGCTTAAACGGTTAGAAAAAGTATATTTTTATTTATTAAATTACGTTTGCAGTACGCCATCTCATATGCATGCTTAATTCTTTTTATGAGCAAGTATGTAGAAGTTCTTTTCTTGGATAATGAATGATGGCGAGACTCAAACTCTGGTCCTTTACATGCTCTGGTACCATATTAAAGTGTGTGGCCATTTTTTCTTATAGAGAATGCTCAAGTTTAATTTGACTGCTTAATATGATTACAACCACTAAATACATCTCTATTTATACTATTTGAAGAATAATTCAAGAGTCTTGCACAACTAACAAGATATATGCATGCATCACAAATTCCTACAATATATACTTGTTGAAAAATTAAGAGATATTAGCTTTCTTTAATTTGCTCTATCATCTTTCCTTATCTTTCATTGGCTAATGGTGTTGCTACACAGACCTGTAATTCATTATTTTAAAATTTGAAAAATACTTTTAGTATACTTCTTCTAAGAGATAAAAATTTCTTCTTTCACTTGAGAAACTTCATTGCCCGAGATATAATGTAGCTACTCAAGATCATTCATTTCATAAGTCTGCATCATATCCTGCTTGAGTTTCTGTATTATTTTCATCCATATAGAGGCAAATAATGAGAATGTTGTCATCTTCTTGCTCCTAATTTTACTTTTCTGAAAATTATATTATGTGTCAGTTTTATTGTAACAGACTCTTGATATTTGTTTCGGTTTATAAAGAGCTCTTTTTAGCATGTACGCATTCTTCTCTCCCCTTGGATGAAAAATCCTTGAGGTTGCTCAACATTGTTTCTTCTCTAAGTTTTTCATTTAGAAATGCAAACTTAACCTCAAGACAAAAAAAATTCATTTTTTTTTGTGCAACAATAACCATCAAGATTCTTATTGTCTCAAGTTTTGCAAGAAAAAAAAAAATTCATAGAAATTAATACCTGGTGTTTGTGTGAAATCTCTAGTTTTGATTTTGTAAATCCAAGACTTACAATCTCTCGCCAAGACTTGCAACTTTGTAAGTGTTTTTTCTCAATTATTTGAAATTCTTCCCAAACATCATACTGTATTGCCTCCTCATAGTTTTTTGACTCAATACAAGCAAAGTTGCATATTTGGTAGACGTAACTCAACCTTCTTACGTATTTTTCTTGGAGGTGATTCTTCATCTTCTTGATTTGAGATTTCTCCCCCTTGAGGGACATCTTCTTCTTCCTCTTCTTGACTTGGCACATTCAGAGAAATGATGAAAATATTTTTATCTTTCAATCCATGTTATTATTTATACATCTCTGCTAACAATTGTTAGTTTCCATATTGAGAAGCCTATACGTTTTAATCACACATCACTATTACCAAGACAACTGCATTTTTGGCTCCTTTCATCCAGTTTTGTTCTTTTTAACACAGGTACAAGAGCATAACAAATACAGTCACACCCAAAAAATTTCAAATGTCTTACAAAAGATTTTAGCTTCTTCTTCAAGCCTTTGTCGGACACCTATATGTTAATTCTTGACTTGTGTATTCACCTTCAAACTATCATTGGGAATAGCTTTTATGTTATAAATATTCTTTTGCTTGACAACAAAAGTTCTAAATCTCTTGAAAAAGCAAATATTTTTAATTTTCTTCCAAGACATAAATCCATTTCATTCTTGAAAAATCATCAAAAAAGAAATTAATTATAACGTACCTTTGGCTTCCCAAATATGGAGTCCTTATTGGCCCATAAATGTCTGTATGGATTAGTTCCAAAGGTGCACTTTCTCCAAACTTACTTTTTGAAAAAGGCTTTCTATGTTCTTTTCACATAATACAACTTTCACATGGATCTATTACTGTGTATTTCAGGAAGGTTTTGCACCATTTTTTTTGGTTTGTGAAGCTTCAAGCCATGAAAATTCAAATGACAAAATCTTTTTATGCCAAAGCCCTACAACTTAAATTTTGAATGCATTGCAATAAATTTGTAAAGGAAAGTTTTTGTTTACCATATTTACATCAATAATGACTTGATTTGTGATGGAAGTTTAAGAAGGCTAGGAATCCAAGAAGTTCAAGTAGTCCAAGAATCCATTCAAGACCAGAATTTCTTTTAAATAAAGATTTGAATTTCTTACTTGTTTCCTAGTAATTTGATTCTTGTTTTAGTACGATTATATTTTTAGTTCTAGTTAAACTAGAATTGTTACTTGGTATCCTATTCCTACTAGAATTCCTTTTTTCTATTTTAGTTATGATGGGTTTTCTTAACCTTATTCTTATTTTAGTTTAATTAGGATTAGTTTTTCTCAACCTTATCAATTTTACTCATTGTAAGGCCTATTTAAAAGCCTCAATATGCTAAAAATGGACATTGATGAGTAGTTTTTCTAAGCTCTTGCTTCAAATTCGTGATTTATCTTTTGTTTCATTCTTCTTACTTTATTTAACGTGTCTTGCAATCTTGCGGGATTGAAGAACGAGTGGGTAAGGTTCTTTTCATCTTACATTTTTCTCGTGTGAGTTTGAAGAACATTTTCGGTAGTTTCGTGAAAAACTTTAGTGGGTACTTTTATTTTCTTTTCTTTGTGCTTGAACAAATCTTTGAAAGTATATTAATTTGATATCAGAGAACAAGTTCTAGGTCCGAATTCGTGAATTGCTATCTTGTTCATCATGTAGCTAGACCAGAAAAAAAGAGTTCGGGATCCTCTTCAATTGATGAACAACTTTAGATTGAAAGATCAAGAACTACATCCCTTGAAAGAAACAATGAAAAAATTAAAGTGCAACTAGATTAATCAAAAAAATCAATGCAAATCTAACTTGATTGGTTGAAGGCTTTGGCGATTCAAAATCAGCCACCAAATTCCCCACAACCCCTACAACCTCCACCAAGATAAAATATACCAGTGCTACTGCGACATCTTCTACTTCGAGATCTACCAATTCAACCGCGTAGAGCAGGACATATTAAGCAAGCAGAAGATGCTATAGTTGACTAGGGCATGGGAGTACCGAGGCGTCAAGCTTACTATGATAAAAACTTAAATTCAGAATGCTCAGATAGTTAAGGTATTGAAGAGTATGAGTCTAATGAAGTTCAATATCAATATCATAGAAAGAGACCCCAGAGAAGGCCACACAGTAATAATCGAGAGAGGTATCAACGTGATGACATTAAGCTTGAAATTTCGGAGTATGATGGTAAATCTCAAGGCGATGAATTCAGTGATTGGCTTATAACTATTGAGCTTTTTTTAATTATAAAAAATATTTTGATAAGAAGAAGGTCAAACTTGTTGCTATAATCTTTAGAGGTTATGCATCGCTATGGTGTAAAAACCTCAAAAGGGAGCGAGAGCTTGAAGGAAAAATACGAATTCACACTTAGGAGAGAATGAAACGAGAATTGCGCAAACAGTTCTTGCAAGAGACATATGAAGAAGATTATTACTTGAAGTTTCATCTTTTAGACAAGGAACTTTATCCGCATATGAGTACACCGGAGAACTTAAGTATCTTAGGCTCAAGAGTGACATTAAAGAAAAATCAGCCCCCCTAATTGCACGATATTGACTAGATTAAATAAGCCAATTGATAATATGATATGATTGCAGTCCCGTTGGACCTTTGGAGATGTTGTCAAACTAGACAAGGTCATAGAGATATAACATAGGAAAACCAAAGCCAAATTTTCATCAACTACCATAAAATAACCGAATACTTTCAACCATGAGAGTGATAGTTTGAGCTCTACAAAGGCATAATCATCTACAACAAAATCAAGTGTTCAGATAGATGAAGGGAAGTGCATGATTTCAAAAGCTATTTTTTAAAAAGAGATGCCATAAATATGGAGGACTTGGGCATATACAAGTTGTGTCCTAATAAAAAGGCATTTACCATTCTTGAAGGAGAAACAAACGAAGAAAATTATTATGAAGAGCGACATGATGACAGCTTGAAAGAAGTAGCTATATATGAAGATGATGGAGAATACCTTGTGATCCAACGAGTTCTTCATTCAGATAGCAAGGAGGAACCATGGTTGTAACACAATATTTTTCATACACGTACATCCAAGGGATAAGTTTGTACGCTTATCATTGATCCCGGAAGTTGTACCAATGTAGTTTCTGAGGAAATGGTTACCAAATTGGGGTTTAAGATGGAGCCATTGCAGAAGCCATACAGCATGAGGTGGCTAGATGAAGGAACAAATGTACATGTTAATAAACGATGCCTTATTCTTTTCTCTATTGACAAGAATTATCAAGATAAGGTTTGGTTTACATATAATGCCTATGAATACTTGCTATTTACTGCTTTGGAGACCATGGAATATAATAGAAAAGTAATTCATGATGACTTCAAGAACACTTATTTGGATCAAGAATGGAAAGAAGATCAAACTACTCCCGATGAACCCTGAAGATTTAAAGAAGTCAAATCTTAAAGTGAAGGAGACATACATCACAAGAGCTAAGGTAGAAGAACACTTGAAGGTGGAAAAGAAAGTGCTTGTTATAGTACCTAAGGAAGTGGAATCTATCACCAAGAAAGATTAATTAGAAGTTATTGACCCACGACTTCAAGTAATATTAGACGAGTTTTATAATGTTGTGTCTGATCTACATCTTCTTCCTTACCACCAATGAGGCCAATTAAACATCAAATTGATTTAGTTCCAGGCGCACCCCTTCCTAATAAATCAGCATATCAGATGAATCCAACAATTTGTGTCATTGGATTTTTGCCTTTCCGAGAAGCTCAACACAATATGGACTTGATTGTCGATCTATCATTCCAAACGAGTCAGCATATTGCATTACTAAAGTCCATTCAAATATGAATGAACAAAAGGAAGGATTACCAATAAAGAAGTGGATAATGGTGAGTTTGAGGTATATTGGAGAAATAAGATGTCTTCACCTCATAAATATATATAGCCATTATCAAAGTGAATGTTGGTGTACAAGCATATCAATTGATGCAGTCTTAAGAAAAGCGTTGATCTCTATACTTAATTTCAAAGCTAGACATGGAGTTGGCTAAGTTTCATGAAATTCCAACATCAATGACTTCATAATTAAGTTAAAGTTTGAGAATCAACATAGAAAGATTACATGGAGAAGGTTTGGTAGAAAGTTGAAACTTAAAAAGTGGAATTTAGTATGACCACATGCTAAGTTTTCTTACAACGCGAAAAAGCTCAATAATAATCTAGCGAAATGTAATTTGAAACCCGGTGAGCATTGAGTCGTTATTCTTTACCATAGCAAATCTTGCGCCATCTGTAAATGTTGTTAGACTCGAGGACGAGCCTTTTTCAACCAGGGGAGAATGATGCAAGTTCAAGAAGGTGAAGAATCCAAGAAATTCAAGTAATCCAATAATCCATTCAAGATTAGGATTTCTTTTTCCTAAAGATTATGATTTCTTATTTCTTGTTACTTAGTAATTTGATTCTTGTTGTAGTAGGATTATATTTGTAGTTCTAGTCAAACTAGGGTTGTTAGTTGGTGTGCCGGCACATTCCTACTAGAATTCTTTTTTCCTATTTTAGTTAGGATAGATTTTCTTAACCTTATTCTTATTCTAGTTTAATTAGGATTAGTTTTATTTAAACTTATCAATTTTATTCATTGTAAGGCCTATTTAAATAGGCTGAGATGGACTGGATTAAGATGGACTGAGTTTAACAAATGGGGGGAGGGGGGGGTCAACGACCAGCCCAATCTTAAACGGGTTGGGCGAGTTGAATGGGTTTAGGTTCGAATTGCCACCCCTAGACGCACCTCAAGATCGTTGGAGACCACTTGTCCATAACAAAGTAAACATCTTCCTTAACGTGTTTAATTCTAGCATGGAATATAGGATTGGTAGTAATGTAGGTGGCTGAGTGATTGTCACCACAACCTAGGAGCAACAGGAAGGTGTACACCAAGATGTACCCTTTTCATAATAGTTGAAGGTTGAGGAACAATATTGTCATTTGTTATTTAGAGTAAGAATGGAAAAGCATGATTACATCTGTTGTAGCATGGCAATATTGTAGAATGGTCACCTTATTACACACATGACATTGAATTGGTAGGTTTGATGAATGTGAGGCAATATTATTAATCTCCAGTTTCCCATACAAAGCATTCATCTTATCAAAGGATCTGAGCTAGTACAAAAACATCAAAAAGTCTATCACAGTTAGGTTAATGATTTAACTATATATCACCTCATTTTTTGTTCCATTATTGTTCAGTAACATGTTAGAGAACTAATGAGTTTCTTTCATTTTTTTCCTTTTAACAGTACTAACAAGACAATAGAACGTTATCAGAAGAATGACAAGAATTTGAGACATGACAAAATATTGCTTGAACAAACTACCGAGGTTAGCATTCTTTTCGTTTATGCCTTGTTTATATGCTGCTTATGCATTTTATAAAAGCTTAAGTTATATGTATCACTGAAAAAATATATTTACAATCAGGTTACTTATAAGGTAATTACACATTAATAATCAGGTTGTTGAACTTGAAAGGGGGTTAATTTGTAAGACTTGTCTTAGACAAATTCCACATTTGAGGGGAAAGTTAGAGGCCATATATATAAGGGAAATTCAGGATTCAACTGTTGAGGTGACACAGCGAGGTAAATGAGCAATCTTTCACCGTCTTTTGGTTTGACTAACAAAGGCGGATTCGATAGATATGACTTTAGGTCCTTGAGAGTTTGTTGTCACTCATCAGTCCATTCAAATTGATTCTGCTTTTTCAATACTGAAAAGAATTTAAAACTTTTTCCGACGACTTTGATATAAACCTTCCCAGAGCTGTTATCCTTCCTATTAATCTCTACACTTTTTTCTTGCTCGTGAGTATATCTGGAATTTCCTCAATAGCTTTGATCTATGCAGGATTTACTTCAATACCCCTATTAGAAACAAAAAGTCCTAAAAACATACCTGAAGCCACGCCAAAAGCATATTTTTCCGGATTTAGCTTCATATTATATTTGTGGAGAATTTCAAAGGTGTCTGACAAGTGTTGAAAATGATCACCCGCCTGTGTTGACTTGACTTACATATCGTCTATGTAGACTTCCATGGTTTTTCCCAGATGTTCTTGAAAAAAATTTATCACCAATCTTTGATATGTGGCTCCAGCATTTTTCAAGCCAAATGGCATGATTTTATAACAATAAGTCCCCCTGTTTGTGATAAATGAAGTTTTTTCTTCATCTAGAGCGTCCATTTTTATTTGGTTATATCCTGTGTACGCATCTAAAAAGCTTAAAAGTTCATGACCTGCGGTAGAATCAATTAGTTGATCTATATGCGATGAAGGAAATGACTCTTTAGGACAAGCCTTATTTAAATCAGTATAGTCTACTCAAACTCGCCATTTTTCGTTCTTTTTTGGAACCACAATGGTATTAGCTAACCAATCAGGGTATTTTACCTCTCGTATTGAACCAATTTTCAAAAGTTTTTGTACCTCATCCTGGATCACTTGATTTTTGAAGGATCCTTGCTTCCTTTTCTTTTGCTTGACAGGCGGGTGCAATGGATTCTCATTCAGTTTATGAGTCATCACCTCCGATGGTATACCTGTCATATCTAAGTGCAACCAAGCAAAGCAATCTGTGTTAGCATGTAAAATTTCAATTAGCTTACCTTTCATCTCGGGGCTCGAATTTGCTCTGATGTAAACTTTCCTGTCTATCCAGTGGTCAAATAATATTACGGCTTCGAGCTCCTCGGTGGCTGTTTTAATGTTCTCATTTTGCTCAGGCTCCCGAATCACATCGGGTCTTGAGTCAACATCGGTTTGCCCTAGCGTGTCTTCAGTTGAGGTTTTAACAGCAGCGTCCTCAACTGAATTCTGTAATTGCTATTCCGCATCTGAACCGTTGGCTCTTGTGCTTGTAAACTCCACCGAGTTGATTTTTTGTGAAGCTTGGTGGTCTTCGCGGATTTTGACGGATTCCCCACTGTGAAGGAAATTTGATGACTTGATGTAAAGTGGATGGGACAACATCAATATCATGAATCCATGGCCTTCCCAGAATCATATTATAGGCCAGATCTGCGTCTATCACCTGGAACTTCGTATCCTTGATGACCCCTTCTGCAAATATGGTAATTACAACTTCCCCTTTCGTTACTACGCTTGAATTAATAAAACCCAGACAAGGTTCGTGCTTTTGGTATGACCTTATCATTAGCTTGCATTTCATTCACCACCCTCAGTAAAATGGTGTTTACTGAGCTACCTGGATCAATCAAAACTCGTTTTACATTAGTATCATATACAAGAAAAGATATTACCAGTGCATCGTTGCGAGGAATCATAAATAATCCATCTGCATCTTCATCATCCAATGTTATACTGCCGCTATCCAAGACTTGGCGAACTCGCTTTCCGTGAGTGACAGTCACTTTTGACGTCTTTTTGCGGCTGTATATGTCACTCCATCGACCTCATCTCCTCCAGCTAATACATTGACTGTTCTTTTTTGTGATGAAAGTTTTGGGGGTTCCTGTCTGTTCTTCATGTATAATTGTCTTCCTTTCTCACTGAACAGATCAGTAAGATAACCTTGCTTTAATAAATGTTCGACCTCTCCTTGCAAAAGCCTGCAATCTGCTGTTCTATGGCTATTATCATTATGAAACTCGCACCAGAAATCTAGGTTTCTTTTGTTCGGATCCGACCTCAACTCTTTTGGCCATAACACCTTATCTCCTATACCTCTTAAACAGCCACTAATTCAGAGGTGCTAACGTTAAAGCTGTAATCCGCTATTCTTGCTTGCGTATCGGAATCATTGTTTTGGGCATCTCGCTCCTTTTTTAATCTAGATGAAGAGCTCGTATTTTTCACCTTGATCTTAGATCAAATTGTGCATCTTTTTACCTATTTTTATAGGACCTCGTTTCTGATTCTGAGCGCCTCGAACCTGATCTTTCTTCGTCCCTAGGAGGTGCCATCGTATCTTCTTCTATCCGCAGCTTCGTACTGTATCTATTGTACACATCGTTCCAAGTTGTTGCAGGACATTCTCGCAAACTTTCCTTCAATATCCTCGTGGCTTCTGAACTTTTCTCGTTCAAGTTGGTCGCGAATTCCATAGCCGCCCAATTATCAGGTACTCGAGGCAATATCATCCTCTCCCGCTGGAATCTATCTACGAGTTTCCTGAGCAATTTTGTACTTGCTTCTTTAACTTTAAAGATGTCCTCCATCCCTTTTTCAACTTTTTAAGCTCCCGAATGTGCTTTTATAAATGAATCTGTAAGCCCAGCAAAAGAATCAAAAGAATTTTCAGGTAAAAGAGAATACCATGTTTAATGCCCCTTTTTGTGAGTGTTTCACCAAACGTTTTAACCAAAACTAATTCGATTTCTTGCTTGGTTAAATCATTGCCTTTCACATTGGTAGTAAATGCAGTTACGTGATCACGAGGGTCAGTTGTTCCATCATATTTGGTAATATTGGGCATTTTGAATATTTTGGGAATTGGTAAAGGTACTTCACTTGGCTTCTACGGTTGTTGTGAATACTTGTCAATATCCACTCCTTTGATCACAGGTGGTACGCCAGGTACTTGCTCTATATGACCGTTTTTCTCCTTCAACTGTTTCTGCAAAGTTAGCACTAATCTTTGTAAATTAAAATTATTTGGTGTACCTGACCCTCCACCACGAGATTCATTAGGAATTTCTCCACTTCTAGAGTTATCAAGCCCTAAATGCGGGTTCTCCAAAGTTGTCGTGTTAACTGGCGGAGGAGTTTGTGCCGCATTGGGTAATCCTCTGACAAAAGCCTGCAGTGCACTGTTCACGTGTTCTGCAATCAATTGCTTTAGAGCATCTTGCTCCACGGTTTGTTCGTCTTCTTACTGATCATCAGCGCGCGAAGCAGACCTTTCAGGTGAATTCTCACGGGATTGCCGAGGGGATCCTATAGGTGTGTGGTGTGGTGGAGTTCCACCTTGTTGGTTCAGCTGATCGTTCTCGTTAACAGTTGACATACTGGGTTGTTAAAAATGGAGTTTGGAAAGTGAACAGATTATCGGATTCTCGATAACGGAACCAATTTGTTTAACCAAAAATAGAATTCTCGGTCAAAGTCAATATCTAGAAGAAATCGGGTTAATGATAACCAAGATTTACTTCACTTTCCCAACGATTATGGAAGAATGGATCAAAGAATGAAAATGATTGATAGAGAAAATAAGAAATGAACTAATAATCACTCCCAAAAATTAAGGCTTAAAGCTTGGAGAATAAAGCAAAGAATAACAATATGGATTTCAATAATAATCATTACTTGCCATTACAAATGAAATTTCAGCCGTTATATATGAGCATACAATTATAACGGTTCCCTTACATAATTTGGGCTCACTAATGGTATTAATTGTATTGGTTGCCCGTTACCATGTTTAACCGTAATAGAAACATTTATGACTAATGATTTCCTTGTAACTGTACCGATTTCCCTTCCTTATTTACATCAGGTTCGTGTAACTTCCCTTCTTTGTAGCCTTTATTCATTTCACTCCTGTTTCTCCTTTTACGGCTGCCAGGTTCGGTTCTTTCCTCAATGTAACCCCGTGGGTGTTTCTCCCGTACCTTTTTTTGCACTCTTAAATTTGTCTAATTAAGAATGTCACTTGTCCTTACATCGATGTCCCACGTATCATGCCCCATCAGCTTGTTGATAGCCCACGTGTCATGTCTTTTTTCCACCAATACAGAAAACCTAACTGGAAAAAATCAACAAATTCTGGTACTGTAAAAGGAAAAAAAGAAACAGCATTAACATATTAATAAGTATAGGAGCAAAGATCTCTGAAACGAACTTGAACCTAAAACCTCGAAAGACAAGTACAGAAAATCTGGGAAATATACCACAAGGACTTAAAATTTTGGACAGAGACAATCTTTATCTCTCTTAGCAAATGAATTTCTAACATGGTTACTCCTTAATATAAGAATCTGGGGATTGAGTTTTTTGTTGAGGTGTCCGACCATCTTTTATAAATGCTTAAGCTATTGGAGTGAGTTCAACACGCCTTCTCACATGCGAGCTTGATACATTCTATTTTATGAGTCATGCACGAGAAATTTTTTTTGGATAATAAATGGCAATGAGACTCGAATTCAGGACCTTTGTCTGTTCTGATATCATGTTGAACTGTATGTCCATCTCATCTACATGCTTAAGCTTTAGAAAAAGCACACTCCTATTTACTTAATTACGTTTTCAACATGCACATGAAACTTTGTAATACTAGCTACTTTTTGCTAGATGCCTTTTCTTTTTCATTATTGTCTATTGCCGAAGAATGCTCAGAAGTAAACAACATTAGCCATAGAAATGTTATTGAATGCTACTTCTTCTTTAAATTGCTTTGTAGCATTTGAAAGAGGAGGCTGCTACTATGAGTAGGAAGCTGGAGCTTCTTGAAAACTCTAAAAGGTTTCTTCTCTACTACTTCCCAATACTGCATTGTCATAATTTTTAAGCTAAGCAATAAAATAACTTCATCCTTGTATTACAAGCTTCGTAATAAATTGGCATATAGTATATGATTTTGAAATATTAGTTTGTTGTGTTTTGCTTGTTCATTGCAGAAGGATTTTAGGAGAAGATTTAGATTCTTGCTCCATTGATGAACTTGAAAAGGTAGAAGAACAGTTAGAACGAAGCTTAAGAAACATTAGGGCAAGAAAGGTACAATATTACAATATCAATTTTTTTTTTTCATTTTGGTAATTCAAACATTTTATTATCACTGAGCACATTTACAGCTTGATAAGAACAAAAAAATAGGCTCCTACTTCACTTGACACTGCATCCCCAGTGTTGTAGTATGCTTCATTCATGTGACAACCTAAGCAATAGAATCTCCATTCTAGCCATCCTACAGAAATCAGCTAGTGAACAAACTCTCTCCTACTTACTCTAAGGACTACTCCTCTATTCCAGCTATTAAGGGTAGAAATTCAAATCCTGTAATTTCCGAGCTAGTTTTGGCTTCCTGTTTTCTCTATAGTGTATTTCCTGGATGATTATATTAACCCCACGATTGCTGTAGCAGGCCTGGTAGTATTGGTGAACACTCTGTTGTTCCTTTCTTGCCATACATAATAGATCCTACCAGCCATTGTCATTCTAAATATCTCAGCTTTGGCATCCTTTCCCATGCAATTTGTCATAGCCCAATCAAGTTCAGCCTCCCACTCTATATATATATATCATTATACTGTCGTATTTATTTTTGTTCCTTTTGTAGTTATTTATTATGTTGCTCGGACTCTCGAAATTGTACCATACCCGTATTTTATCCTTCAAAAATGCATTACTTTTGAACGATCCCGACACTTTTGAATACTAATATTCTGCCATCTTCTTCTGTTTTGTTCCAGAGCCAGCTATTGAGGGAACAGATTGCTCTTCTAAAGGACGAGGTAAATGCATACTTTATTATATCCATAAAATCTCGTTTTATTATTCTATTTACATATCAATTCAGTTCAAAATAACTGTGAGATCATTCACGTACTAATTGCTTCAGAATTTCCTTATTCTCTTGTCCCAGGAAAAAGTCCTAATGGAGGAAAATGCAGAATTACGGAAAGAGGTGAGTTAGTGCTTGAATTTCAATGCCCTTAACATACATATCTGTTATTTTATTGATTCAATTTGTTTGATATAGTCTGACTCGACACGAAGTTTAAGAAAGATCTTTTTTTTTTTTAAATTGTGATTTCAAACATGTCATATAGTTATGTGGCTACAATACTTAACGGAACTACTTGTGATCTTAAACATCCTATGTCATTTATCCGACTATAAAAGTTTCTCATTGAGAAAATATGGAAATGCATTGTTTTTTAGATGGACTAATAAGAAATTTGGTACCCAAATAAAATGGAACGGAACATGTGTTTTTAAAATGTATTTATGGTGTAGCTCAGGTTAGCAACCCATGAAGTTAACAAGTCCGATATTTGGTCCAAAATGCGACCATATATACAGAGAAATGCAGAGGTAGGTGATTCTGGTTTTGATTCTCGAACGATGGCTTAGCTATGGAGCCAACAGAACCTTAACGGAAGTTAACCTTTAATTTGTTGCCTCCACTATTCTTACCAGATAGATTTTATTTGTATACACGAATTTTATACTGTCAGTATAGTTTATCCGGAAAAGGGCCAAAAACGTCCTTGAACTATTTGAAATAGCTCAAAAATACCTTCCGTTTGTTTTTGGTGTCAAAAATATCCCTGCCGTCTATGTTTTGAACCACAAATGCCAATTAAACCGTTAGTCTTGCCATTGAAGCTGACATGGCAGTCCAATTGGGTTAGATTTGCTTGCATGGCCATCCACCTAAGCAATCCATATATACAGAAAAAGTTTATTCTTTGTTTTTGAATCCTAATCACAAAAAAAAAATCGAAAAATTTAAAAAATACCAAAATAGCTCTTGATTGGGGTTTATGATTTGATCAAAAAACTCCATTGTTCTCTTTTGTAAATTTATGATTAGTTTGAACTAATTTTTTATATGCTTATTTGTTATAGCTTCACAATATCAACCCAACAATGCCTAGTAAGATTCAGATCAAACCAATCATAAATTTAAAAAATGCTTTTTCAGATTATCAAGCTTTTAAGAACTTTTCCATGAAGGTTTTCCTTTTTTTTTTGGGTTTTAGCTCAGATGTTCAAACCAAGAAATCAGTTGTTAAAGTTCAATTTTTAGCTTCAATCGCAATATAGAAGCACTTTACAGTAACATAAAATTAAAATTTGACAGCAAATATTTTCAATGACCCAACAACAACGACAAAATATTTCACCAAGAAGGTTTCAAATCAACAACTATTTTCAAATTTTGACACACAAAGAATGGCTACACAAGTTTTCCAACAACAATCAACCATTTGAATTAAATTTGACCCTCATGACCCTAAAACCCAATCAGTGAGCTCGATCCTTCGACACACATGTACAACTTCAAACAAACTTCAGCACAATGGAGTTTTTTAATCAAATCATAAACCCCAATCAAGAACTATTTTGGTATTTTTTAATTTTTTGATTTCTTTTTTTGTAATTAGGATTCAAGAACAAAAAATAAACTTTTTGCCATGCTGGATTACTTAGGTGGATGGCGATGTAAGCAAATCTAACTCAGTTGGACTGTCATGTCAACTTCAATGGCAAGACTAACGGTTTAAGGGGCATTTGTGGTCCAAAACATAGACGACGGGATATTTTTGGTACTAAAAACAAACGGAGGGTATTTTTGAGCTATTTCAAATAATTCAAGAATATTTTTGGTCCTTTTCCATAATTTATCTTATTGCAATAGGTTACATTCAAACTCTTTATCAAACACATTCAAACTCGGTACGAGTTAGCACTGTTAGAACTTAAGGATTGTTTGGTAGGAGGTATTAGATAAAATAATGCAAGCATTAGCTCTATGCATTGCTAATACCTTGTTTGGTATATTTTTTCAACCTATGTATAACTAATACTTGGTATTATCCTATGTATAAGTAATGCATAGAAAACCATGGCATTATTAATACCAAGGCTATTAATGCATGCATTAGTATGGTTAAAGACAAAATTGTCCTTAAAGTCTCTTAAAGCTAGAAAATATGGAGGGCATTTTTGTAACCAATTATTTTTCTTAAAAATTATGCAATGCATTATAATTTTAATACACCACACCAAACAATAGATAAAAAATAATATCTGCATAACCAATGCTTGCATTACTAACCCATGCATTACTAATTCATGCATTACTAATACACCTTATTTTGCACTATTCTTATACACCCTACCAAACGACCCCTTAGAAGTTCGGGGAGGAGACTCTCAAATCAGTCATTTTCTTTTGAAGACAAGTGGAAGAAAGTTTTCAACTTGACTTACAAAAAATGACTATACAGTCAAACCTCTCAATAACAACCTCGTTTGTTCGGAATATTTTTGGATATTATAGTGAAGTGTTGTTATATAGGGATGTTATAGAGAGGTCTATATATATATATATATATATATATATATTGTGAAAGTATTTATAGGACTTCTTTTAGCATGCATGTGCCTAGTCTAGCACATATACCTTAATTTTATTTTAACTTTTCTTCTTCCCCACTTCATGATTAAAACCAAACATATATCTTAGTATTAGTTTCCTAATACATGAAACTAAGAAAATTCATGTACTACTTGGAATGAACCTAGTTCATTTTTCCATCAAGAAAAGCTCAATGCCTTGAATCTTTTTCGAAAATAGTTTTGATAGAACTGTGACAACTTGTGAAGTATTGCACCTTCTTTTGTTGCTGGAACCAACACAATTTGTGTAAGTATCTTGACGGATTTTTATTTTATTTTTGGTTTTCCACCTGGAGTCCGGTGCCCTCATAGCTAGAGGTCCAGATTTATTTGGATCCGCTCCATGGTAAGGTCCTAAAAGGGGTAGCACCCCTGCCAGTATTTTTTTCATTTCTAGAGTTTAAACCCGAGACATCTGGTCAGGGTGGTGAAATCCTATACATCTCACACCAGCGTCTTCATGGAGTTGCAGTTTGTATTGTAAAATATTCTATTTAGTAGTGTTTACTTGTCTCCATTTTTTAATGAGTACTATTTTAATGCTATTTAAGAAAAGCTAAATATTCTCTATTTTTCAGTATGAGGTCCGACCGCTGCCTTTATTTATTGATCGACAAGAAGAGGAACATCTTCAGAGACAGACAATGGATGTAGAGACACAGCTATTTATTGGACCCCCAGAAAGACGAAGTTCACACTAATTTAATTACCAATTCTCTGCTAAGAAAGTTCCATAACTTCGACCATTTGCAACTGTAATTTTATTGAGTTGATGAATAAAGCAAAAAAGAAAAAAGAAGAAAGAAAGAACCAAATTGGCATATGTTTTTTTTTCCCTATTTTTCAGGCGTAATTATAATCTAAATGGAGTATTAATGTGTTACATTGTAAGGTATTGGATGTATATTGGTTGTTATACTTGTATAGTATCATTTTCTATGTTAAAATACTCCATATATCAATATATATGTGGTCATTTTGGAAACTGATTTTGTCCTTTTCATTTCATTTCTCGAGTTAAGTCTATTCCACCACCTGACATTTTGGACAATATCCTGAGATATTTTCTGGAGGATTTGGGTCCAACTAATTAAGTTTCAGGTTGACAACACGCAAAGTGTTTTATGCAATTTACTCCACTGATCACTTTTGGATATTTTGGTTATAATTTAGAATCTGTCATTTAATTCATATCCCTTGCAACATTACTAAAGTAGAATATATGGTGTGGTCTGGAAATGGTATTATGATTTTTTTGTGTGGAAAAGAAGCATTGCTTACACTGCAGTATTAAGCAATTCATCTGTTGAGACTTGAGACAACTCACCAAGGGCGTATGTAGCTTAAGGGGTATGAGTTCACGCGAACCCTATTTTTTTCTTTAAATCATGTATAATAATGTTATATTTTTTAAAAATTATTTAAATATATGTGTGTGTACCCATGCTTAAAGACTTCTATAGTGTAATAGTTATTGTGTGCACCTCTACGAGTGAAACTAGCAGTTTTTTTCAAATCCCACTTTGAACCTTGGCACGGAGTATGTGTGTGTGTGTGTCTATATATATATATATATGTGTGTGTGTGTGTGTGTCTGTGTGTCTGTGTGTGTGTGTGTGTGTCTGTGTGTCTGTGTGTGTGAAAATCACTAAAATTTCAAAAAGGTCAAATATAAATTCTAGATCCACCTCTTCACAATTAATAGTGCACCCATCATCTTGAATCCCGGATCCGCTTCAACTCACCAGGTGTCGGTGACGACGGCCGTTCAGTTTTGGATGGTGACAATATTTTACCTCATTTAGGATAACTGATTTAGGTGATATATACCATTTGTCTTAGTTTAGATGTCTATACATATGTATAATCGCTTTTATTTCTTAATGTAGCTTTTTCCTATTTTACATTTTTACAGAAAGAAGGTTATTATCTTACCTCATATATTCTCCAATAAAATACCAAATCCTTTAAATATAGATGGCTGTTTTTAGGGTCAATTTGATACCTTCGGTTTGAGAAAAAAGAAACCCCTAAATCTAATTCAGTCCCATCCTCCAATTTTCTATATAAAAGAAAATATTTTATTATATCTCTAAAAGTTCTCTTTACGGTCCTCCTCAAATCTCTACACGTTTTTATGTTTTTCTATACTTGAAATAAAATAGCAGCTATTTATAGTATAGCACGAAGCCCATTTTGACTAAAAAGTGAAAAACCTATTCTTATATAAATCTCATTACAAATCCTAATAACTAGCAATATCAAATTCTAAACAATTTAAGTTTGGCGATATGGCCTTCCGGCCACTTAAATTTGCTCTCATTTGTAAAGCTGATACACAAACTTACATCGTTCCCATTTGAACATTCAAACTCTTGTATTTGGTAACTAATAAACCTATTTGACTGTTGACCATGCACACGTGGCATGGAAGAAGTGATGTGGACAAAGAGTGTGCAAGTCACGTAAATTAGGCGCATGACTACAATTATTTTTATTTTAAAAAATTTAAAATCGAAAAAAAAATTGCAAATGGAAAAGAAAGAAAATAAGCCCCCACCTCACTTTACCCCACCCCAAATCAGTAATACCATTATTCCCCTAACCTCTTCCTGTTTCTTAATTTTCTCCTTTCTCCATTGTCGTCTACCCCACACCTTCCCCTTCTTTTCTTTCTCCTCCACTCCAATCTTTCCCCACTTCTTCCTCTTTTTGTTTCAAATCCAGCATAGTGAAAAATAAAGAAAAGCAATGAATTTTGTCAAAAACATTCTGTCAATCCTTTCTCTCACATTAACTCCCTTTTTTTTTTGTATCCATCTCAGACTAGAAGATAGGTAGAGAAAAGAGAAAGACCATCGAAAAATTGTCGAGTTTTAGCCGGAAAATCCCACTTACGGAGTCCAACTTCTCTTTCTTTCTGATTTCACCATTCATGTCCTTCTTGGACATAGCCTCGCCGTGCCTTGACGGAATTTTAAGAGGTGCCACATTGACTCTTTGACTTGGGGTATGAATTTTATGGATTTTATTAAAAGTGAAAGATGAAATGGATTTTATGGAAGTTCATGGTTGATTGAGGCGTGTGGTCAGGTTATGGCTGGGATTTTTTTCTCAGGCTACAGCGCTAAAAGTTGTAGAAGAAATAGTGAAAGAAGTAAAATAAGAAAAAAAAATTGATAAATTAGTTTAAGGAAACAGACCTACAAATGACACATGTAAAATAATAAATGGTCTTAGAATTTAACGTGTTCTTCCTGTCAGGAAATTGAGCTTCACGCTCTGACGAAGGGGTTCATTTATACTCAATTGGTTGTGTTGAGGTGCTAAAATGGGAAAATCAAAAGTTTATATATCGACTTTAAAATCCAATACAAGTTTAAGTTGCCACGAAGCCATTGACCTTTAAGTTTCCTACTACAACTTTAAATTAACTTTCCAATACTCTATATTGTGCACATTTCGGAGCTATTTCCACGGTAGTCGGTGTGGTTGATATATTCGCTTTGCAATAATTTGGCGCGCATAACACGTGGTGAAATAATCAAATATTATCAAATCTTTTCATGTCTGGCTAATAGGGTCCCCCCACATGATATGCAGATCATAAAGCATAAAAATCCTTCTCACTTCTCTCTCCATCACCCAAAATGATGAGTGGTTGATCACGTCCAACTATGCCTTATAAAAAGGACAATGTGGTCGTTGCAAATATAATCCGGTTTATAAGTCCGGAGTCGAATCCCACAGAGAACTAAGGTTTAGCTACAGCTGTTCACTATCACCAAGAATACAAGCTTGAACAATTCCTAACTTATAGATATTAAGATTCTTGTGTTTAACTACTTAACTAACAAATAAAAATAGTAAATTAACAACTAACGATACTGAGGGTTAGAGAAAAGATTAAGGAGGTCTAGAGTTATGATTTCCCCAATTGTCGGAATCCTTCCCGCTATGTCTTCTATAATTTCGCCTAAGTATTCTCTACCGATCATGAGCACTCTTATTGCCGTAAATCTCTCCCGAGTAATTACGACAATTTACTAGACGCACTCTCCCGAGCTACGCTAGCTAGCTTTTAATACAGCTCACTTCAGATCGCACCCAAGGCTTCGTTATCCCTAATCCCACCTTTAAACCCTCGGTTATTGATCCCTCATATACTCTGGGAGTGGTGTTGTTTAACAATTACCTAAATATGCACTCTCTCCCGAGTTATGCATACTAAATAGGCACAGCTAATTGAGAGCTCATCAATCAACCAGAATATAAACGTAGTTGAACAAATAGAGAAAAGCTATGGCTCACTTATATAAAAACATAACAAGAATTTATCCTACAAAAGGTTCTATCAAAACTCTAGATAACAAATTAGCTATTCATAATAGTATGTAAAACTACAATACTAAAAGTCATAACCAACAATGAAAAAAATAGGAAGAGGAAGGAAAAAACTCGTAGAAGAATTCTCCGCCTTGCTCCCAATGTGTTCTTGCCTCCAAGGGTGTTGTCTAACCCTAAAGTAGTGTCTCTCCGCCTCCTTAGGTCTAATTTGTGTCCAAAATATGTCCCCTTCTTGTTCTTGGCCGACCTCCTTTGTTTAATATAGGGTTTAGGACTTAAAATCCCATATTTTGCACTTTAGTCCCTGAAATTTTCGCTTCCTGCCGCGGTTTTGCCGCGGTCGCGGTGGAACCGCGGCCAAACATGCCCTCTGATTCTTCAGTTGTCCGCGAGTACACTCTGCCGCGGTTCTGCCGCGGTCGCGGCAAAACCGCGGTTTTCCACCCTGTTCCGTTTGGAATTTGGAAAAACGTAAAACATGAAAGTTGTAGCCCTTTAAGTTAGATTTCCAACCATATATTGTGGAGCCTAAATGGAGTTCTGAGCAAAAAGTTATGTCTATTTTACTAGACAGTGCGCAATATGCCTCCTCAAGCCTTCGTTCGTACTTAATTATCAAATTTGACCCCCGAACACGATCCCGGCTTAATTCCTTGAGCTTTTACTCAGACTTCAAAGCTTCAAATCACTTAAATTCATTCCATAACATCTATATAGCTTGGAATCACACCTACAAGGCATAAAACACACAATTAGTGCAAAACACTAGCGATTAAAGCGCAAACTCAATTAAAGTGCAGTAAATTCGAGTGTAATAAGCGACTAAAATATGCAATTATAGCCTATCATCAACACCCCACACTTAAACCATTGCTCGTCCTCGAGCAATCAAACTACACTTTTTTTATAGACACGACCTTTTTAAACAATTTCTCCTAATCATTCACACTAAGAGTATTTAAAATTAGACTAAGCACAAAAGCGCTAACATCTTCACCTTAATAATTTGACTCACAAGTACCACTACGTTATTCACAACTACACCCACTTACTCTAAATAGAGGTGACTCGACATACCTCTTCTTCATGAATCAAGTGCCCGTCACACAACAAAAGAGAGTATTCCACACAATAAATTTTAAGAACATAGTGAACTCAAGGAAAATAAGATAAAGAATTCACTCACTCTCAGAAATACATTCATATGCCACAAAAGAATGCACCATAAGCTTTGCCCGTAGTGTACTACTCCACTAATCGAGCTCATTCAATCTTGGATCAATTAGGACTTTATTTGGTTCTTAATGCAGGCTACGGGACGGGTAGTAACATTTAGATATACAGAGTGAACTACATCCTCCCTAAGCCACGTTTAATAACATATACTTTAACATTCACCAACCCATACTTATGTCAAACCAAAACTCACCCTTCACGATCAATGTATATACCCCCATTCTTCTTGTAAGCACACTTACATCAAGAGCCACCACTTATCAAGAGGATTTTTTTTTTCCACGAAGAGATCAAACTATTTTTTTTTCCAATTCAAAGTACCTTACTTTTCAAAACATGCACCTTTCTCGTGTCTTATTAGTCCACTCAAGAGACCAAACAAACCATCCCACACTTAACTTT